AGGCTAGGCTTATACTAACTGCGCTAGCAATTTCTTTTGGACACCTCCTAGCTTCGAGCATTATGAAAACCTAGCCTTTTTAGCGATTATTAGTGTATTTGACTATTGTAGGCGACGAGAGAGCGGTTCAACGGCGGGTAAGCAGCAGAGTAGGTATACGGTTGCATTGTAGGCGTTGTTGTACGTAGGTACGTTGAATAGGCGGCTGATTAAGGGCGGCTAACTAAGGCTTTAAATATTGTAAAATTGAATACATTTGAAGAAAACCTCAAAAAAACGCGTTTTTGGGCCTATTCTACGGCTTTAAGATTGAACTGACTGTTGGGCTGGCTTACTGGCTTACTGACTGTTGTGCGCGTGGAGGGCACCCTACTACCCCCTGGGACCCGCTTTCTCCTGGCGTTTGCAGCCTACAGCGCCTGAGGAGGTTGGGTGGTCCTGTTTGACAGTGATTGACTGAAAACCTGGAAAGCAATCTCCTAGTTAAGACTCTGTAAGATTAGTAAGACACAACTCCTGAACTTCGCAGGGCCAAAACGAATCGGGAAGAGCGCTCATGAACTTCAAAATTCACAGGGTTTTGATTTTAAAGCGGCGATCGACACACGAGACATCTGTTCAAGTGTTTCGCGGCTTCACGCGAGTTGCACCTTGTATGTATAAGCTGTAGGTACTTACGAATAGTCAACAAGCATTTCTATGTAACTAAGGTACAGAGTTGCCGTTTCCTTCTGAAAACCGAGTCACTCCTCGTAATTCAACCGTTTACGGAATACCCTTCCCGGTTGTTAGAATGGGATCCAATATCCTCTTACAACGAACACTAAGGAATTCTGCATCCGGAGTTCAATACCGAACTTGAAACATTTGACAATAACAACAAACTTCCCGAGAAACTTTGGGAAAGAAGATTGCGAGTTCTAAAGGGAGATAGCAACATGACCCAGGATCCAGCCACTGATGCGGCCGCGTCCGGTTGACGACGAGATGTGTTTCAGTTTTTAATTACCAGAGAGCATGCCGGGCAGCATTGTCAAGGTTGCAGACAAGGCAATCGTCAAGCCCGCCGCTGGCCGATCGATTGCGGGTTGAGACTCAGACTAGACTCAGACTCTTCAGGTGGACAGGATCCTACAACAGTATTTTATTGAAAGCAGATTCCCGGCTCAGTCGCAAGGTTGTGTCAGCTTGGATGACGAACACGACGGATGATCTTCCAAAGTCATGGGACAATGTTGGAAATACCCACTTCCGAGCGCCCATGACTGGAATGTCTCCCTCAAGTGGTCTTGGGGCACTAGAAGGAGGCTGTTTGTCTAGGAAAGATCAACCAACTCGAGGAACCGAAAGGCCTTGCGGGCGATCCTCCAGACACTTACAGCATCGACGGTCAGGTTGTCTCCATCACAACCCTCTGGAGGGGCAAAGGCACTCTCTGTCGAGTTAGCCAAGTTCTGACTCCTGATAAGCCTACTTGTAATAGTAAGTATTAATATGAAGTCGTTGAAAGGTTGCCGATTCAAGGTCGAACTCGAATCAGGGACCATGCCCTACGCATTGGTACGCTTCGTTTCGGCAAGCCAGCCAAATTCCAGCAGCAATCGTACCAGCAGACTAAACTTCCGAGGGTTAGGACGGGATTCGCTGATGCTTAGAATATGCCCTCTCTGCGGACAGGCATTCAGCTCGCAAGGGCACTCGAGAGTGGTGCAATCCCGCGCTAGAATCTCTTCTCGCTTTGGCCGTCTGGTTGCTAAACTCTCGGGACATATATCCCTCAGGAACTCGATGCTTGTGACATATTGGCCAGAAGCCGAGGTCAACTGGCCGACGTCTGAAAGAAGCTCGAGAATCGAATGACGTGAAAGAGTCGTCCGGGAGGCCCTACCACAGTTACCTCAGAGGTTACCTCCGACAATAATTGCAAGAAACAAGAACCATGATTGGATGACATCGGGCTCGAAGAAACAGCCTCACCATTGTCCGTCTTGTTGGTAATGGCACAAAGGGCATGCAACAGCCTGGCCTTTGGGGATGATATGACTGTCTTGCCAGACCCGTCAATCTCCGCTTCGCGAAAGCCGAGTGAGGACGGAGGCGCTCGCGACATCCTAAGCAGTTCCTGATGTTGAGGGAAAAGGCTGGTGTTAACACCGATGACCGATGCCTTCACGCGGGCAATGTCCAAACACACCCCACGGACATCGATGTTGAATGAAGCGCCCTCCTTCGACTGAAGGAATACGTATCGGCGGCGCTCGCCGGGCACGTCGCCTTGATTGAGCTCGCAGCATCCATTGAGGATTCGAAAATCCAAGAAGAACAGTAGCCGAGAATCCACCTTCGCAGCCGCGCGACTCAAGCTCGCAAGAAGCCAGTTGTGTAATTCAGGTTGGGGTGGAGAGAAAGTCTCATGCAGCTCGACCAACAAAGCCTGTTGGCGGCGCCGTCGAGCAAAATATCGAAGCAGCCCGACGTTAGTAGCAGCCAATGGCAGGACCCTGCGCGCACTTTAGTAACGCGCACCTAAACGCGTGGGGAGGACTGATCGCGAAGTATCCGTACCTACATACGTTAGGTGCAGAGGGAAGGCACGGGCGGAGCCTCGCAACCCCGGCCGAGCATCTTCATTCGACGGGTCACGCACCTCCCACTGAAGATTTGCGCTGCATTTTATTGCATCCTCCGGCGGTGATTTCCTGACGAGGAAGATGGTGAGTTGTGTTCAATCGATAACGGAATGACCTGCAACTTCAAGGAGGCTTCATTCCGGGGCTTGCGCCCGTCCCGACTGGCTGGGCCTCTAGCGCCGCCTAACTTACAGCATCCTACATTTCCGTAACCTCCCACCGAGGGCCTCCACCCCCTTTTTGATCGCTCCCACGGACTCAGGGCAAATTCCACATTCAGACAGGCGTGATCTCGCATGCGCGTGTTGCCACTCTATTACACTTTAGCTTGAATGCACTACATAGTAGGGAATCCGACTTCTCTCAATTTCGTCCGCGTCCTGTGAAAGCACAAGCCCCATTGGTGAGTTGATTCCCTAACGTCATGTCCGTTAACGCCGTCAGCCTTGTCGCGAGAAACCCACAAGCTGAAAATCTGCACAGCTGTTCTTGGCGAATCTCAATATGATTGCGCGATCTGCGGCCCGGTCTTCTGAATCTCATCCCCGGCTTGGCATTAGGGGACTGAGAAACAGCGTTTAACATCAACTGGTCGTGAGATTGCCTGGTAGGTAATCACCTCCTGCTGGACTTTCGGATCTCAATGGCATTATGGATACACCAAGCGTCAGGTCTCCCGAAGCACCAAGTCGGCGAGTACGCCGAGGCTACGGATACAACAGCCTCTCATTTCCTCTAAAAGGTTGTGAGACTATCTGTACTCTGTAATCGGCCCGGGATTTCTCATTGGCTCTCTTCCCGATTTCCCACACATACGGGATAAGGAGTAGGTAGTACCAAGCTTCTATTCTCAGTCTGCGGGCTGGTTGAACACTTGTTAGGAATGGCTTGATAGGGCATCGAGTAGTAAGAACTGTCAGTACCTACCAGTTCGATTGAACTGCAAAATGATATATGCGATTTGGCAGGACTTCAGTTGTTTCGGGTACTTCGCATCGGCCAGCCATCTGTTAGTGCAGTCGAAATTTTGTATGCAAAAATCGTCCTCTCGACTACCGCTCTTAACAGACCGGCAGCCCAGCAAGGTCCTACATACTCCCTTGCTCGGGGACAGGAAGCGGCAGAGAGAAAGAGCGAAATCCAATGGACAAGCAAGTCAACGCAGCTTTGATTTGCTTCAAGTTGTGAAACTGCTGGGTATGTGAACAATCAATACACAGCTTAAAACGGAAATATGAGGGTGCGAGGCTTTGACGAAGACAAGTTCAAGCCAATGTAGGCACCCCAGATCCGTACTTGAGGTACATCTAGAACCGCCAAAACAGCAGTTTTGGTTGTCAAAGCCGAGAAGCCACTATGATGATTCATTGATCTGGTCTCCGGGGGTTACCATTTCGCGCTTCATCCCCTGTGTTATATCGCAGGCGGTGAGCACTACTATTTGGTACCGCGCTCCTTATAGACAATCTTATGACGGTGTAATACAGAGAATGGAAAGTCACAGCAGGATCGATCGAGAGTATGCGAATTGATGCCCTTTGACAGCGTACTGGATCCATAGGTTCATCATCAGGACTGGTCGAGACAAGGCACACGACTCCCCCTGACTGAAGACAGCTAAGCTTGCTTGGGATGGCCAACTGAAGCCTACTGCCTAACCAAGTTACTGTTGCCCATACAGTCATGAACATCTTGTCTAGGCACGCCAGCGCCGTGGTCCCTGCTTTGACCCTATCGCCCTCGGTCTTTGCCGCCCTGACGCCATGCTAGGTGCAATACCATCCCTTTCATTACACCCGTCATGCAACATGAATCCAAAGCCGGCCTGACCTTTTGAAACCCCCTCTCCACCGCCGCTTTTCATCCCTAGTCCCTTCGATATGTCATAGCGGCGGGGAGCGTAGGGTGGGTATACACCAGCGCCGTTGATTCCCTCCCGATGAACAGATAAAAAAGACAAAGAGGCAAAAAAACACATGACTTCCTTTCCAAGCGTTGCCCCAGGATCCCTATCCAAAGTGGCGCCGGCTTACTCCGTATAATGATGATGATAATGACGATGTAGATGACCAACGCGGATGATTGTAGACTGACAAAGGAGAAAGGTGTCTTGTGGATACACCCATGAAGGATGCTTTGGGATGTGGATATGTTCATAAGGTGTAACGCCAAAGTCCGCGCTGCTAAGAGGCCGCGCAGACAGGTTATGGCAGTTAAGGTGTGTATAAGTATTAAACATAAGGGAATTAGAAAGGCCATCGGCGGGTCCAGTGGTCTGTTCCGGAGATGCCTGCGACATAACGCCGGTCGCCCTCACTCAGCGAGAAGCTGCAGGGCGCCGGAAACAGACCTGGCCCGACCAAGTGGCATCAACAAGCGGCGTTGACCGGTAACGGAGGGTATCATGCTGAGACAAGGCAGCGAATCCGTAGACCGGCCAAATCGAACGCTCAACTCGGGATAGGCCAAGCTGGTATGGATCTGTCTGGAGCAAGCCGGAACAGGTGGCTCAGGAGAACGGCGGACCTTGGTTCGGAGGCGGCGGGTATCGTTGATTCCTTCCGCCATTCTCTCCGCGAGCAGCCACCCACTCGGCATTGCCACTCTGTCGGGGGCCAAGGTCGGCAGATACGGGAACCTTGGTATCATCGCCCGAAGACGAGCCTCCTCGTCTCCCCCCAGCGCTGCCATTCGCGTTGCCGTCGCCTGTTGTTGGCACAAGCTGGGTCACAGCGTGGGTGATGGAGGCCACGACGTAGCTGCGCAGCTCCCGGTCCTCCTTTGAGTCTTCCTTCTCGAGCCGGAAGCGTGTCTCCTTGTCCATGTTGGCCCGGCGTAGGTGTTTAATTTCCTGCATGATGTACAGCAATACCTCTTCGGGGCACCTGGTCCGATCGTTGTAATACTCCATTTTCCGTACATAGCGTCTGGTGACGTCGGTCGCACCCTCGATGGAGAAGGCAATGCAGTACGACATTTTCTTGCCCCAGCCTTCCGTGTACAGCCTCGGGTTGTCCCAGGCCTCTTCGCAGGCATCGACGTGGATCCACCGCTTCTGGTGCTCAGAGTAAACCTCGGTCCAAACGTGATCTTCGGCGTTCCACACCCAACGCACGCGGCTGCCGACAGCGCGACACAACATGGTGAAGCAGTTGGCCCACTCGCCGCATCGCCCACGTCGTGTTTGCAATAGACGCCATACATCGCCGAACCGGGGAAAACGCTCAAATGCTCCGCAGTTGACGTTGGAACATCGGTAAAGCTCGACGAGCAGTGCGCCGCAGGCTTGCTCATCTGGCGTCGGTTGCGTCTTGCCGTGCGCAATGGTCGGCGACAGGCATATCGGGCAAGGGGGGTTATTGACCCAAGTGAAGAAAGATCGTTTGAACCACCTGCAAGGTAAGAAGCCTGTCAATTGCGATTCAATAATCAACGACCCGAGGCCGGGCGACGTACCTGAGAAGTGCCCGAATGACGCAATCCTGATAACCCCATTCCGGCTTGCGCCCATCGCCCATACTCTCGGCCTGCGCTTGGAGCACTTGGCTCTCTTCCTCAGCTTCGCCATATATCCTGTCCAGCGGAATAACCTGTAGCGCTTCATCGAGCAAGCCCGGGTTCTCGTACTTGGTCGGCGTCGCCGATAGCGATATTAGCATGCTCCTGAATTTCAAAGATTCGCGGTCGTTGGGCGATGGCGGGGTCGGGATTTTGGGGAGGTTGCGGACGTGGGAATATGGCGGTGGTGTAGCGGAGGAGCTGGCACTGCCGTGAGATGTTTGCGGCCTGTCGGAACTGGCTGCGGACGATGCTCGCAGGTTGCCAGACGAAGCGCTCTCTCTTGGTGAAGGCGAACCCCGTCGTGACCGCGTTTGTAATTCATTTAATCGCTTCGTGCGGAGTAACCCCTCGAATTGGATCCTCAAATCTCGTGCCCATTCCTCATCATACGGCTGCTGTCCCCCGGGGGCCTTCCCCGGATTAGTATCCATGGTCCAATCTGCGACCGGCCGTGATGTCGCGGAAGGGAGCCGGTCAATGGGCAAAGACTAATCAGGGTTGCTATAGGCGATGGCGCCCCGTGTCCTTTTTTTGGCCTCGAAGCGTGGATGCCTATTGCTACTTTTAACGTCTCGGTCGATTTGGCCTGCCCCGGAGCCGTCGTCAGTAACACACAGTCGCTGCAGGGTCGCGCAGGCGCTGTTGCCACAGCTGGCACGGAGGGCTATGTCGTGCGCGTCTCGTTTCTCGTCGTCGTCAGTGTCGTCGTTCTCGTTTGTCGGGGAAATAATGTCCGTCTTTCGTTTTCGTCGGGCTGTAGGCAGTCGTCAAGAGGCGTCGTATAAGTGCGAATTGCCCGGCCACGCAAATGCTGCGTCGGACGGTCCTCAACTCCGTCTGCCAACTCGATGACGGCCCTTCATGAAAAGCTCGCTGTCGAGACGCAAGCACCACTGCCGTCTGAATGAGCGGATGCCGTTCACGGTGTCCGAACTTGACAGCGGCTGGGAGTCGAGGCCTGGCGGGCTGGGATGGGCAGGGTAGAGAAGACGGGCAGAGGTGGGCCGGAGAGACAAGGGGGACAGAGGGATAAAGCGGAAGACGGGTTGGGGGGGTGTCAAGGTTTCAGGGAGCCGACGGAGGTGTGTGTGTGTAATGGCAGAGCATACGTATGGCCCTCACTAACTTACGCAGGCCCAAGTGTTGCGTGGCAGTACACTGTATGTACGGAGGACCGTACTGTAAGTTACAGCACTGCACGCTTTAACGTTGCAGCTGGAGGCATTTCGCCGCAAAGTAACGGTCCATATCCTGAGGGTCTTCCGGTCGCAGGTTTACGGCCGAATTACCTACCACCTCCTCTCTACCACAGGGCTCTTGTCCACTCGCTCGCAACTTCTTTGCTTGCTCTGTTTTTCCTTTGGTTCGCCAGAGCGCATGCGATGAGAATTTTGCACGCGAAGCTTGCGCCAGGGGGAGGGGTGCAGGCAACAGGTCGACGTATCTTGTACGCTAAAAGAAGACGGGGAGGGAGGAGGGGAATGCACAGAGAGAGGCGTCTTGCGCAGAGAACGCGCGTCCAGCTCGGGCGGGCCAATCAAAGTCCGTCTCGGGTCCCTCCGCCCCAAATGGGTCTCCAGTTCTCCACGCACTGGCTCTGGCTTCGAGCAGCCATCGAACCTTTTTGTCTCCACGCATTTTCCTAATATGTCGACGGCTATAAAGATTGTAGTTTCTCAATCTTGTTCATTGATGCGAAGGAGAGCTTCAAGAATGGCCATCTTCAGACTGTTCGATCTGGCAGGGGATAACATTAAACGTTAACGTTAATTCAAAGGTACCTAGGTACCTATCCGTATTCGACTCAGACACTGAACCTCTCGGCTGAGTCGTGGTGGGTCCGAGATGACGAAGCATGATTCCTACCAATTACCGACGGTTAGCTGGGTGGCGTTGGACCCTGTGGCTGAGACTGGAGATTGGTTAACTACTTTTGACTGTCCCTATCCATAGCTCTGTTGCGGTCTTTTGAACGGACTTCACCACTGCCAAGAGCATTTCCTTCCTGACAACCTGGCTCCCTGTATCGTCGGTTCGATAGTACGGATAACGTTGAAGCTATGTATTCGTCCCAATTGGCTAAGCTGGTGGGAATGACTGGCAGCTCCACCCAAGAATATCAGGCAAAAGAAGGCCCCGATGCAGATGGAGTCAGTGAGCCGACGTCACGGGTATATTTGAAGCCAGCCAGCCTCATTTCCCTGTCACTCCTCAGGCTTGCCCCTTGCTACGCACGCAGCTAACGTTACCTACGGGGAAAAAGTGTACACATTGATTGAAGCATCGGTTGCTCTCCCGAGACGCGGGCTCGTGCGGACCCGTGCGGACCCGGTAGACCGGCACGCGCGACCTTTCTGTTCATGTTCTGCCCGCCAAGGACAACGACTGACGACGGAAACCGGAAAGCCCCAGGCCCGGCCTCACCAGGGTTCAGATTCGTCAATGTCTGACTTGGCCTCTCGAGCACCAATCAGCTTACGCCTTCTCGTCGTCATGTCAGAGAAGGTCTACGGAGTATTTAGTTATGCCTGGTGACTCCCCGAACGACGTTGCGACAGCGGTGGCAAGCCAAGATTGAGTGGGCTCGACTGCTGAACGACACCTCGCCATCTCAGGGTTCGCAAGCCCATCCATCAACCCGAATCCGAAGATACCCAGTAACGTAGGTATTGTACAAGTGCCTATTTGTGGTCGTCAAGCGCAGTCAAGTGCGGTCAAAAATCAAAATGCAGTGGCGGCCGGAAGTCGACGATTACGCGGCTGTCTTGGCTCTCAAGCCAATCCGCTTCCTTCCTTCTGTTCATCCTGAATTGCCACATCCCTCGTCGCTCTACGTACACCTACAATCCAACTGGCCTTGCCGTTATCACCAGCTCTCCGATTGTCCGTCGCCTGTTGCTCGTCTGTCTGCTGCGTGAGATTACGTGCAGCGAGGTTCGCGATGCCGCTATCTTGCTGGAACGACGCTCTTGCATATAGTATCACAAATCCCCTTTCTCGGCAGACGCTCGGGTTCTGCCTTGTCTCGTCGTCGACCCCCAAGCCCATGTTTATTGGATTGCCGTCTTGGCACTTTCTGTTGATAAATGACCCGTCCCTGAGAATGCATGATGGATCAGATACCCGTAACGGTCGAGCAGCTGGGCGGCGTTGCGTACGCGGTCCCGCCTTCGCTTTTCTCCGAGTCCATCACTGGACCTGCAAGAGCATCGGCGGGGAGACTGGTATGACTCCCAAGGAGCTGGGCATGTCACTACCTATTCCGTTACTTGAGAAAAACCAGGACAGCCAAGCGCAGCTAGGCTCATGGGCGGCGATCAGACATGGACGGGCTCGCTCTGTATCCGAGAAACCTCGCCTGAAGTCCTTGGAGATAACCTCGCGTTTAGCCATCCCGCCGACACCACGGTGATTCCATCTCTCTTGCCGGTACGGGCCACACTTCTAGAACCAGAGCCTGGCCAGCTGCGGCTACTATCAATCTTTCATGGTTATCTCCAGGTATCGCCAGTGGAAAGCCCGCAATATCCAGCAGCGCCTCTTGTGGCTTGGACATATCAGACTGCATGGAGTCAATATGACACTCTATCTGAACCCAAGTTCCTAGTCTCCTCCTCCCAGCCTTGCCTTTGGCCCCTTTCCTTGTCCCAGGGCCAGTATCTAGGACAGCAATTCGAACCCCATGTTTGCCCTAACTGGGTTACTGGACGACCTTCTCACCCACGGCTCCGGCTCAGGGACCATCTTAGCCCTCGCGAAGACCAAAAATGACTCGACGACGTATTGAAACAAGCCATGACCACAAACCCAATGGGGAAGGAAAAGAACAAAAGGGTAAGCGAAGTTCCTTTGACGCGCGTCACTGCTCGGCTCCACCCAGACGATCCCACTCCCCGCCCGAATTATTTTGCCGCTACCGCTACTATCCGCCGGACTTGACCGTCGGGACCGTGTACCAGTGCAGTCCGTATAGGATGTAAGTAGTTAACGTTATTCCCGCTGCCTCCATCTTGACTTGACGTTAGTAATCCAGTGATAGGACTGCCCTGCTTCACCCCCCTTCCCCCACAACGTGCGGTCCTCGTAGCGGGGAGAGACACAAAGTGCCAGATTTCATGTACGTGTACATATATACGTATATAACGTGGCGGTGAAAGGAGGGTGAGCTGCGTCCATCTCTATCCCGCCCATCGATGTGGGTATGTATACACGCATGAGTCCTCTGAGTATTGCGACCCCTATTTCGGCTTTGGCGTCTGCTCGTTCGAGGGTGAGATTGTGGCGCTGATAACCCTCCGGTTTGCTGTGTCAGTCTCTACCTAATACAGACTGTCTGGACTGGAATTAGCCTAGGATTGCGTTGCTGGCAAAGAGAGCTCAGGATGGAGGACTCGGCTGAGCAGCAATAGCTGGCTCGAGAAGGAGTTATCGACAGACGGCATATGCAGCTAGTATGCCCAACCTATCGCCCCCTCAGTGTAGCGAGCCAGAACCGCCACGCGGGAGGGAAGCTCAAAGGAGGAGGGCTGCGAGCAAGGGGAAGAGTCAACCGCGCAGACATTATCAAGGTCATTTGCGTTTCGGACGGCCGAACTCTGGACGCTCTCTCTGCCTTGAGCTCGACAGCGGTGTTCCACAACGCAACTTGACCACGATCTAACCCGTCGAGATCACCATCCAATTTGTCCTTACAAGCTCCAATAACCTGTCGTAGATGCGTATGTACACACAGACCTATCCCAGATATCAAGCCATCGGGGGCAAGGGAAAGGGTCTACTGCAAGCCGCCCCTCATGTCCTCTCCACATTTCACCTCTCCCACTCGTTCTCCGCGAAATAGCGTTCCGGCAAATCCTCGCCGGAAAGTGGCCGCTCGACAAGGGCAACCTCAAGAGGCGGAGGAAGCCCGTCACGCCCGCGGCCACCCGTCTCCTTCTCTTGCGAGTCCCCGAGGGGCACCATGCCCAATATGGGCCGGAACTGGTACGTACGCCACCAATTCGCTCTCGTGGTTCCCTGTCTGTCGGCATGCTGCAGTGCGCTGTCGGCGCCCTGATCCTCCCTCAGGCGCTGCAACTCACCGCCATCCATCTCTTCGTCATCCTCGTCGTCGGCCCCGCTGCTCGCGCCTGCGGCGCTCTTCTGGTCTTCGGCATCAATCATCTGCACATCCTCCCACTCCTCCCCGTTGGGGTCCATAGCGGTTCTGATGCGCTGCGGGGCGAGCGAGTGCTTTTCCATCTTCCCTCCCGCGCCGCTCTCTTGCCCGTCACGCTTTCGCTTGGTCCCTTGTTTCCGTCCTTTCCTGCCCTCTATCGCGTCCTTTTCCGGGTCCAGGTCCTGAGAGAGGTCCAACATGAACACAAAGGAGACGCCGTAGATCCATGCTCTATGGCCTTGCCATACGACACCCTTGACCTGGTCTCGTGTGTCCCTAAACTGCTCCGGGAGCTTTGGGTATGTGTTCCGGCGCGACCACTCGGAAAGAACCCCTTCCAGAGGGTTGAAGATGTAGAGCTGCTTCAGCGTGGTGATGACTAAGAGGTCATAGTCGCCGCCTTCTCGCTGGATATTGGAAAATGACAGGACCACTGGCGCGGCCGACAGTTTAGGAAGGAGGGCGGCTTTCGGGTTGCGGACCCAACGCTCGCCCGCCATGTTTTCCGATTCTTCGTCCGTCGAATCGCCGGAGGATCCGCTGGACGCTTCGTCGTCATCCTCGCCACCCGTACCATTTACCGGCTTCCCGGGGACGCGTAACACCCAGGTGTCGATGTACCCTGCCAAGTCGGCAACGCCAAGAATCCTGCCGTCAGGGGAGAAGGCCATCTGAGTAATGTTCCGGTCGTAGGCCCCCAGACCGCCAAGGAGTAAATGCTTAGGTGTCTGTCGTCGTAATCGGTGCAATTTATGTGGGCGAGAAAGCGAATAGGAGATGCCGGATGCCGATTCAGTTGTACGCACCCTAACAATCATGACCCTGTTTCCCTGCTCGACCCAAGATATCCACTGCTTGTCAGGGGAGATATGGACCTTTGTGACGGCTGCGCCTGTAATGTTTGAGTCCACCTTTTTGATGTGAAGTTCCTCCTTGGCCTCTCGATTTGGCAGGTCGAGCTGGAACACCTTGACATCGGAGCCAGTCGCGGCAGCAAGAAGAGTTCCATCTTCGCTGATCGCGGCCGACGTTATGTGAGAGTCTCCCTTCACTAGGATCTGGGCGAGGAATTTCCGGTTCTTGCGCAAGCTAGTCGCGGCCTCGGGATCATCGAGCAGCTGTACGGCAGGACTGAGCAGGTGCCAAATCCGAATCTGATTTTCCCACCAACTGAGGATGAGGCGGGCTTTGGGAGCGCTCTGTAGAGTGGGGTTTTGCGGGAGGTGCGGTAGCGTTCTATGGTACTCCCTGCCTGCCGCGCGAAGGGGGAGGACCACAGGGTTCGCGTCGGAGCCTATGGGTTCGTTAGCTTCGGGAGTACAGATATCATGCTAGCTGAGCATACCACCAGAGACCACCACACTCATTCCTTTGCCCTCGAAAGAGGCCATCGCCTTGACGTCGTGCTGATGATACCTGCGGTGGAAGACCTTTGACCACCGTCCGCTCTGCCCAGCAACTGGCTCGTAGACAGCCGTACGCCTATCCATGCCGCCCGAAATGATCTTGGAGCCGTCTGCGCTGACGGATAGACAAAGAACGTCTTGAGAGTGGCTTTGAATCCGCTGCGCTTGGGTATATGTCTTGCCGTCCCAGATGCACACCTGTCCCGTCGAGTCGCCCGACACGATGTCCCCGTTGGGGAGACACTTGACCGACCACACGATAATGTTTTTGGAGCCCCCGGAGAGATCAGTGCCGAGAGTCATTTGTCTCAGTAAGGTGCCGTTCCGGATATCGTAGGCGCATATGGTGCTGTTGGAGCAGCCGACGACGACGACATTGTGCGACTGGAAGGCCATGCTGACGAACTTGAGCTTCTTTGACGGAGTCCTGACGAGCGTCGACTGAAACTGCAGTCCGCCGTCCTCGATCGAGTAAAGTACCAGGTTGCCATCCACGGTGCCGGCCACCAGCCTTCGGCTGTCGGAGGCAGCGGGCCTCTTCTTTGACAGGGGTTGAACACCGAGACACCAAATCTCTCCATGCTGACCGCTTGCGTGCTTTTTTGCTTTGGCCTGTTCTAGGTCCCATTCGGTAATCGTGGTGGTGTAGCCAATGCTGAAAAGGCGCGACCTGCCGTGTATGATCTTGCCGTCGGCCGTCTCCTCGTCAGGGTCAGTAACCCAAACTAGGCCGTCGACGCTTCTGTCTTTGCCGCCGGGGATGACGATCTCCTGATGCCACACGCCGTTGAGCGGGTTCCAAATCTCAATATCGCCATTGGCCCGGCCGATAGCCAGGCGCACCTGGATGTGTTTCTGGAGGTGCTTCTTGTGCGAAGAGACGGGCGGAAGGAACGAGTGAGTGAACGCGACGGCATTGATGGCTGAGGCAGGGTAGCGAACAAATCGGCACCGGTGGATATCCATGGTTCCGGTGTGATCGGCCCCAGAGTCGCGCGAAAGAGGGGTGTGAATGCGATTTCCTTGACCTCGCGACGTCCTCTTCGCCTCTGCAGCACCTTCTGAACTTTTTTTTTCTGCCGCTTCCGAGTTACCCTTTTGAGACCAAGGTCGGTTGTCGGTGAGAGATTAAGGTGCGGTCTGTGCGCTCCCATGCTAGGCAGACTGTGTACTCCGTACTGTAGGTAAGGTACATAGCCAAGACAGTGAGTGTGCCTGGCTAATAAAGCCGTCTGCCATGCGCTACAGTACACTAAACTCACCACTACACTACAATCAGCGCCCAACTCACAGCAGCCACAATAATCAGGGGCCATGCGACGTGCGGTCTCAGTAACCTAACTTTGGACACAATGAGTACACTACACGATGAAAGCCAGCCTGCCTGGCTGTTGTGAAAGACTCAAGTTGCCAGCGGTCTCGGCCGATAAGTGATATGGAACGTTAACTGATAATTGCCCCACCACGCCCCGCGCTCGGCGCTCAAATGTTCGGATTTCGGAAGGCATGCGGTTCAATCGGTTGTGTCATCACAGGCCACTTCTCTGCTTCGGGCACGACCTCTGCTCCTCAACTAACCTTCAGCGCATTCCTTCATTTTCACGCTCTGCATCTTGCTCTTGCTGGTGTATCTAAGTCTTCTGGCTGCAAGGCTACTTACTATAAGCAAGGCTTGGCGGGCCCCTGTCTGTTGCTTGAATCCAGCAACGTTGAAAAAGTTGCCAAGAGCCCTCAAACGATTCTCATTTTCTGAGTGTCAGCGCATCGTCCGATCCCAGCCGATTCCCGCTCGGCATATCGTGCGTCGCTTTCTCACCGCGCTCAACATCATAAAATCACTAGGCTGAGGACCCATATCGTTCGTTGCTTTCGCAATCCGCCGAGGACCTCGTTCTCGGCCGAGCCCTGCCAGGATGGATTTCAACAGCGGCTCGCCCTACCCCGAGGGCGTCATCTCGTTTTTGGACACAGATCTCTACAAACTGACGATGCAATGCGCCGTACTCAAGTACTACAAGGACGTCCCAGTCACGTACGCCTACACCAACCGGACGCCCGAGAAGAAGCTCTCCCGCAAGGCTTTCCTCTGGCTGGAGGACCAAGTCAGGAAGCTTGGCAACATCTCTCTGTCCGCCGAGGAGCACCAGTACCTGAAAGAGCATTGCCCTTATCTATCGCCGGCCTACCTGGAGTACCTCTCCGAGTTCCGTCTCCGACCTAGGGACCAGGTAGCCATCACATTCTCGCCCGTGGGCGGTGACACTGGCGCCGAGACCGACCTCGGCGATCTGGATATCAAGATCAGTGGCACCTGGGCTGAGACGATTCTCTACGAAATCCCGCTTCTCGCATTGACTTCCGAGGCATACTTCAAGTTCATGGAGCCTGACTGGACGTACGATGGGCAAGAGGACCGCGCGTTTGAGAAGGGCATGCGGCTGCTCGAGGCCGGGTGCGTCTTTTCCGAGTTTGGCACTCGTAGGAGACGAGACTACCACACGCAGGCATTGGTGTTCAGGGGTCTCACCAGGGCCAGCAAAGAGGCAGCAAAACGCGGCTTCTCTGGGAAGCTCTCGGGAACCAGCAATGTCCACCTCGCCATGCGCTTCAATATTCCGCCTGTCGGGACAGTCGCGCACGAGTGGTTCATGGGTGCCGCTGCCATTACTGGCGACTACCGGGTTGCAACCGAGGAGGCGCTGTGCCGGTGGGTCGGCTGCTTCGGAGAGGGTGTCCTCGGCATCGCTCTGACTGATACCTTTGGAACCCCGGAGTTCCTCAAGGCGTTCAGCAAGCCGATTAGGTATCTAGAGGAGCCGCCGCCCGTGACGGACAGGAAGCCGAGCATTGCTGATTCGTTCATCTCGGCGTCCGGCTCAGTGGGCCAGATCAAAAAGCCCAACAAGACCTATGCAGAAGTCTTTACGGGCGTTCGGCAGGATTCAGGAGACCCAAAGAGTTTCGTCGAACTCATCCGCAAGTTTTACAACGAGCAAGGAATCCACGACAAGAAAGTCATTGTCTTCTCGGATTCACTCAACATTGATAAGTGCTTGGAATACAAAAAAGTCTCTGAAGAAGCCGGCTTCCAGCCGACATTTGGCGTTGGCACTTTTTTCACAAACGATTTCGTGAACACGAAAACTGGCAAAAAGTCGACGCCTCTGAATATTGTCATCAAACTCAGCTCGGCAGCAGGTCACCCAGCCATCAAGATTAGGTAAGGTCTTTCTTGTGTGCTCGGCTACAAACTTGGCTAACCCTCATTGCTAGTGACAATATCGGAAAGAACACTGGAGACAAGGCCACGGTCGAGAAGGTCAAACGAGAGCTGGGATACGTCGAGAAGGCATGGGAAGAAGGGGACGAGACAGCCAGATGGGGTCGGGAAGATGATACCGCCAAATCATAAACTCTAGCATGGTCACGGCCGGGTTAAGAAAGTGCATTTGTGGGCTGAGCGGCGTGATTGTTCGCTGTTGAATCTGCGTTGGTCATACCACCTGGAGAGGCTACCTGTTTTGGAGTATTGTCCGATCCAGCCTGACGACGGATTGTATAAAAGCTTATACACCCCAATATGCTAACAGCGTTCGGATTGCTCAAGTCGACTAGGCAATGGGTTGGGCTCCCCAGCGTTCTTTCTAGGCGTGATTTTGCTGTGGAGGATCCGCAAGTCTGGCGGATGTGGTCCATGAACGGGTGATTCTCCGAACAGTTGGGAGTGCTGTGCCTCTTGTTGTTTCGTATACAGTGGACTACTGCAGTGATGGTTTGTCTGCGTTGGACGGGAGTTGTGTGACTACGGAAGACCCGTTCATGACTGCAGAAAATCCAAGTGATGGGGGGATAGGGGGCGGTTGGGGGGCTGGGCCCGTTGGGGAGGTTGGGGAGATAGCACTTTGCAAGCATGCACGACCAACAAAGGAAGAGCACAGCCATCGTCACAATTGCCTAACCCCCCAGTTCCAGTAGTACGACATTCAATTGTTGTGACCCAATCTGGCAGCTCGGAAGTTTACCCATAGTATCCACACCGCAAGACGTGAGACGGCCCCCAACTGGCTTACACCTACAGATTGACTGCCACCGTTCGACCGTGCTCTAAGGGACCATCAGATATGGTAGGACGCATTCGTTCCCGCTGCGTCGTTTGTGACGTGTCATTTTTTTCTTCCCAACCACCTCGGTTCTTTGAGCATGTACTGGACATATGTACGAGTAACGTCGGAATAAGCTGGCTCGAAGGGCTTGTTGGTAATGAAAGGGACCCAATAGGTTGGTAAACCCCCTGCATGTTTCCCACGAGTTCGACTCGGAGAGCAGCCGAAGCCGGGAACGGCACACACACACACACACACACACACACCACCCCCCTTACCAGCCTGCCGGTCCTTTCACCGAAAACGACCTAGCATGTTTGGAGTATGTTGAACGCGCGCCCAACACAGTAAAGACACCCTTTCCCCGGAACCACTTTTTGCGGTTGTATGACAGGTTGCTAGGTAGGTATGTACTGTACATTTCCCATCTCTGGTGTGACGACCAAAGACGTGGCCTTTGCATTTTGGACAAGTGTGTTTTCGGGGGCGGTGCTTCCATCCTGGATGGTCGAAGAACGCAGATGGAAGATGTCTTTCAATCTAGGACGCTGTCAGATGTTCGAAAAACCCAGACCTCACTCTCTCTGTGATGCTGAATGAATACTTTGCTTCACTCGGCGGCTTCGGGAGAGCTACGACCTTGGGTGATGCGAAACGTGGTCAGGACGAGGGACGGGGAGTACACTAGGTCCAGCGAAATGAAAGCTGCCAAACTACGTCCGTAGCTAGCGGCGCCATGCGACTGATCCCAACGTTATCATTTTGTAAGGTGAGTTTGACCCGCCGCCTTCGGTGGCTGGTAGTGCGGCTGCATGTGTGCTGCGCTGGCTGTCAAAACACTGTGAAAACAAAGGCCATGGGATGTTTCGGTCCCGGACTCATCAGCATCCCCGATGCCAGTTCTTCGCTTGGTTCGCAGCCAGCTTAATCGGGATGTGAAAAGTCGGTCAGACCTGTGACTCGGTACTACTAGGTATCTTTGCCATGCCTTAGGAAGGGAACAACCCGGAAGGCTGCAGGCCTGCGCATGCATGGTGTGTACGGCAGCTTCAAGTACAAATCCAGTCAAAATCGAGCTCAAGCCCGACTCGGCCGGTGACGTTCCGTCCCTCACATGCTCATAGTTGACTCGTTGAATTCACCGGCAAGGGCTAGCACCAGCCTCAAACAAATTTCAGGTCGTTGAGACAGGAGGGCGGCAGTGTTATCGGGATGTTCTGGGTAGAATGAAATCCTGCCCATCCGTCTCATCAAGAGCCCGTCACGCCAGTTGGGACTACACTCGAGCACGAAGTAGTGACCAACAAAGCAGGTGAGGAGCATCCGTGAGCCTTGCCTGGTCTTAGCGGAACTTGTTGGGAAAGAGTGAAACAGTAAAAAGCGGGGCGTTCCAGACTGTCGGATTTGGTACACGAATGGCCTGTCCTGATTGGATAAAGGGTGCCAGGTAAATGCCATTGCTTGGCGGTGGAGCAGACCCGGCAAGGGACGTTGGTGAGGTGACAGGGATCTAGCTCCTTGTGAGGCTTGGACTGATCAGCATGGCCCGACGGTAACTACACTATGTATGTACGTGAAATTACTAGTAGGGACACTTGTGTGTCTGCCGAGACCCGGGAGTACACTACTAGTGTAGATGGAGCGTACTGTACAGTACATACAGTACAGTACGAAGTACTTTAGGTGTAGCGTACACCTAGGGTACACTAGTGTGTGCTCACGGCTTTTGGCTTACCGCGACCGGACGTGACACTCCGCTCAAGATGGGTTGAGACTTTGCTACACGTAGTACCTAACGTAACTGACAGTCTGACTTCACCTTGAGTAGGGTCCCTTTGGTGCGCAGTGCTGCACTCCCACAATCCAGGCTGGCGTGTGCCGATCGCGAGCCTTCCCCCGCCGCTTCTACACTGGTAATGAATGAAGTAGAACTCGGAAGTACTTAAGAATCAAGCTGCCAAGCACAAGACGATGGCAGATCTCAGGAGAATATGCGAGCTCGGTAATTGGCTGTGCAGGAAGCAGACAAGCAAGCGGATAAGCAGGCAGATCTCATCTCCTGATGTGGTACAGTACTAGTACAGTACGTCAGCACCTCACTCAGGGTTGAGTTGTGCCACTCTTAGGTATTCACGTGTGCCTCAGACTCCTGCAAGGAGCGAGCGCTACCTTAGTTATGCCTTGCTAGGGAAAGCTGCCCCGGCCGCCTGCCAGCTGAACTGGCGCCCAAGAGCCATCAATCTTCCCGGCCGTAGGACAGCATGTTGCGTACGCTACTGCAGTACGACCGCAAGCGGCGGTGAGGGGAGCTCTTTGTCAGCATTTGATGTGAGGGTATCATCTCGATTGGTGCCGACAGTTATTAACACTCCGCGAGTCTTATGTTGTCCATGAGGTTATGTTCCCCCTGATTGGGCACTGGTGGGCTCCTGGACCCGACAAGCCGGAGCCGACGTACCAACTCGGTCGAGCTGCAAGAAATTGGGTCAGCAGACCGCCAGTATGCATGTACTGTATTATACAAGTACCAGTCGTTGCGCCGGTTTCGCTCTTTCTGCAGCAACTAGCCTCATAGAAGGAAGAGGAACTGATTAGACGGCCCCCACATGATCTTGGTCGAGGATAGGCCAGCTCTGAATGGAACCCAGGAACTCAGCTCTGCTTCACATGAGCTCTTCTCTGGGAATCTTGGTGAGTGCTGGCCCTCTGTGTCACTGTGACACTGGTTACTCAAGCACACTGTACTGTACACTAGATGGTTAGCCTTGTATCATGACGATGTCAGGGCAAAGGGAATGGTGTGCTCGGCGTGCTCACCATTCGATCAGTACGTGTAGGAAGCCCCACGCAAAGGCGCTCATGACGACGTGGCGCTCAACATGGCGTTTTACAGCACAGGCCTAGTGTACATACATAATCACGGATACTTCCTATGTATGTAGATGGAGAGTGTCAACGTATGTACGGTACATACAAACATGAATCACCTTCCTACACTGCAAGATCGATCGGATCACTGCGCCCTCGGCGTGATATTTCGGACTTCGTACCGTGTACGGAGGACTAGTACGCCATATTATCTCGGTGCCTGGTTACTGTGTGAATGCAAGTGAATTGAGCAGACTGGACAGCTTCGTTACTAGGTATGTAGTTGCTGCCTCTCACATTAGCACAATGCACCAGGCATGTTAGGTCCCAATTCTTACCACGGGAGCCGTGTGGCGCACGGTTCTGTCTCGGTCCTTGAGAGAACAATGGGCGGCCAAGCCCTAAATTAAATCATTGGCTGGTAAAACTTGCGGAGCCGGATACGGGAGCAGGGAGCGGGAACGGGTGGATGGACCCGTGTTGGCTTCGAACCCGAACTATTGGGACGGTGGGAAGACAAAAGGGAGAAACTTTGGCAAACGGTCGATAGCCACACATGTATCGGTACCTTACAGTAACGTTGCTCAGCAAACCAAAGATTGGTTGAGCATTACGTTACCCGTCCAGGCTGCGACTTTAGGATGCGACTCCCTTCAACTTAATTCAAAAGCTCCTGCTTCATTCCTAGGCCAATTTCAAAACAGGTAACGTTATACGAAGTATATATGGTGTAATATAATACAGCACATACAGCAGTACGGAGTACGGTGCATCGTATTGAAATTCGCTTGTATTGGGTACGGAGTACTAAGACAGGTCCCGGCATTGATTAGCAGAATGTGGGGTCCCATTGTTACTGGGGTAAGGTGCAATCCACTATCCGTACAGTATGTAGTATTGTAGGGAGGGCTCTCCGTCAAACCGGCCACAGACGGAGGAAGTAAGGAAGGAAATTAAACGTTGGCGTAGTTTGTAAAATGAGGAAAGCCAGCACAGCAGTGGCCGGGTCGGGCAAAACGGCATTCGTGGAGGAGAGGAAGAGTACTGTAAATTTCCAGGTTTCATGCCTTACGGCTACCTCTTGTGCCTGTCAACGGACCCCTGTCCTGGCCCTGCAGAGTCATTGCGACGTCGCGGATTTCATGGCCATTTTCCCCCTTCCGTTCCCCAGTCCACAGAAGGTACTGTACTCTAGCGTAGGAGGCACTGGCAGTTCGTTGGCCCACGAGCAGCCGCGAATCTGCATCCACCGCAAGCTCAACGCAACCGCGCCTCTTATCATATAACAACCTGATGCCGGCCACATTCTGCAGCAACTGTCTGCAGCAACCGTCTCCCGGTCCAATCCTTCCTCATAGGTGAGCAACTTCTCATCTAGAGTCGCTCGTTTGTTCTCATTCTGTTTTGATCTCCCTGCCCCGAAACGCCGTTGCGTGCCGATGGGATCTTTTGTCGAGTGGCACTTGAGTAGTTGGTCTCGTCAGTGTTGATTTTTTATTTTTTCTGGATGTTCGTCACTCAATTCTTTTCCTCTGGCTCTCTCCTCCATTTCGCTTCCCGCCCCTTCCATTTTCCTGTCTTGGCAGAATGTCACGTATTGTGTACCCTTTGCCGTCTGAAACACCCGTAGCCGCCCATCAATATGCTGCCAGAGATTGGAAAATCGGTGGCCATAGCTATGCGATGCAGCTCTGGCTGCAATTCGGCTGTTCTAGTGATATTTGGATGACTAACATAGTCTATACATCTCAACAGTTCTGCCCCTACCTGCACCGGGCCAAGCCGCCTCACCTTTGCCCATGAAGGCTTCTCCCAGCCTCAGCTTACCGGGACTGTCCAGCGCGTGAGCGGAAGAGATTAGCTGCGCGTCTTTCAGTCCGCTCGCAATGGAGGGACAGCCCTACAGAAATCACAAGTACGCTTTTCCCCGTCTTCGTCGCCATCTCAGGTCCGCATTTCGGGGACTGGGAAAGGGACCTACAGGGACTGATCATGACCGCACTCAGTGGGCCCGTCCCTTCTCCGCATTCACGCACTTATCAGGAAGTGTACATCGAGAACGGTCGATGGTACGGAACCTTTCGAAAGGGAAAGTATATGTTTCCCATCGACCAGGTGAGCTTGTCTGCCGCGGTTCTAACCACGCGTTCTGCCATATTCATGACGCTGATTCTCGCCCAAGGTTGAGTTAGAGCGTCTTGACATATTTCACAAAATCTTTCATGTTGCTCGTAAGGATGTTCTTCACAACGCGCCACTCCATAACCAGGAAACTCCCCGGATCCTAGATCTGGGATGTGGGACGGGCATTTGGGGAATTGACATGGCAGAGTGAGTTGCCTAGTCCACCCCACCATAACTTGGCCTGGTGCTCACGACCTCGACAGCAAGTATCCCGGAGGGACCCATGTGGGTTTGGACTTGAATTACATCCAGCCCGAGTTGTCAGTCTCGACCCCCCCCCCCCCCCCCCCCCCCCCCCTTCCCTACGCAATGCACATTCTGATTTGTTGTAGCATTCCCAGCAACATTCATTTCATCCAAAGGGATATTGAAATGACCTGGCAAGACCTAGAGCCAGGCTCCTGGGACCTCATTCACATGCGTACGTTGAACGGCAGCATTTCTAATTGGCCCAAGGTATACGCTGAGGCCTACAGGTGAACATGTTCCCTCTCATGCGCCACCGGCCGCATAGCTGACGGTTCCGCAGGCATCTTAAGCCGTACCACGGCCACATCGAGCAGGTTGAGATTGATTGGTACCCTCGCTGTGACGATGGCACACTACCACGAGATGCCTACGTTTCACAGTGGGCTAATGAGCTCATGGACGCCATGGACGGGTTCGGTCGGCCGTTGCGCATGGACAGCAACCTCACGAGACAGCGGCTAGAAGAGGCTGGCTTTGTCGATGTCAAGGAGGAAGTAATCCGAATGCCTCTCAACAGATGGCCATCGGACGCACACGCCAGAGAAATCGGCCGGTGGTTCAACCTCGGCTTCCGTCAATCCATCCAACCGCTCAGTTTAGCGCCCTTGACACGAGGTCATAACAGGACACTGGCTCAGGTTAACGAGCTCGTGGAGAAGATTGGGACTGAAGTCTTCAGCCTAAATCAGCATGCATACTGCACACTGTAAGTCTAAACATTGTGCATGAGAGGGCAGTTCGCTGACTGTGCGCTAGGCATATTTTCACGGCCAGGAAGCCACGGTGAGTCAGGCTTCATTACTTGATGTCACCACCTTGCCTCATGGGAACCTTGACACATATCATGACGTCCGCCGACTGCTGGGCAATCCAATCCGAATACATGTGCCAGGGCCGATAGCCGGCGATTACTGGACTCCCTATCCTAGAGTTGACTTTGGTGGCATGTTGACACTCGGCCCTTTGACAACAGGGCGGTCGACAGCGGGTCTCATCCCATGGCGAATTCCGCAAGGACTCGCACGCGTCAAGCCTAGAAATGCTTGATACGGCACGGTGTTGAACCGGAAATTCGGCTATGCTCGGCGTGACAGCCGCACTATCGCGGTCGACGCTACGGAGGCTGCATTGCCGGCCTTGGGATTAAAAACCGATCTAGCCACGCTCCAGGCTCAGCTCCTGTATTCTTGGCGCCACGGAATCGGGCAGATTGGAAGCTCCAAGCACCTTGGACCTAGCCGCGGAAACGGCTCGAAGGGTAGCACGCATCATGGGACGATTGCAGCCTCTCAGGCGTCGTCGGAGCCCGAAGCTCGCACTTTATGTCTGCCCATAGGCTGCTGAACGTCGAGGACCCCGAACCGCTCCGTTGCGAGTCCGTTCTGAGGGCCACGGCAGACTCGTGGTCATCCGATTGCATAGCGATCTTGTCCATGTCAAACTTGCCATGTTCGCCGGCGACCTGCTCTGCTGGACGGCCTAATCTCGACCATGACCTTGGTTTGGGGCCTCGGGACGCGGCGAAGGGAATTCAAGAGCGCCCAATCAGCACGGAGCAAGAGGGTCGTGATAGCAGTGGGTAGCTTGTGGGCATCTCTCGGGGCTTGCTTGATTGGGTTGCCGTGGGCATGAATGCTCTACATGAGGAGGTCTATATGCTTGACTCCGTCCGCCAAGCAGCCGGATTGAAGCTAAGCGATACGGCGGAAACGTGGCCAGCCGTGATCTTGGATGTACTTCTTGAATGTATCGGTCATAATCCAAGAGCATCTGCTGGCTCAGTAAAGTGCTATGATCAACGATGATCCTAGGCATGGCAGAGCCGCGGCTACTTGTCAGTAGGCGAGAGCCACCTTTCATGACACCTGACCTCACAATGGGCGTCATCAAGATGTAGTCCCTATTTGAAACCGTCGCATGTCTTTCTTCCCGCTCTCTAACTGCATACCCTAAGAGTTACGGCATGGTAGAGTCCCACAGAGAGGAGTAGGTTGGGTCATGCGGCTGTTTGTTCTTTATTGCTTCAGTCCCAATGGTACGGATCACGCTTCGCCCCCTGCCCAAATCCGAGTCTGCTGTCAATGGTCGAGGCCACGAATGGTTGAAAGCACTGGAAGCCAGGGAGGAGGAGCTGTGGTTTATCGAGCATAGGGAGGGACGCATGGGGAGACACGTCACTTTTCCTACGTACACAGCATGCCGAAAGGGAAGGACAGTACATATAATGAATGGCGACACATAACAAGACGTCCGGCTGTTCATATACAGGCAAACTACATATACTGCGGGTCATTGAGACCTACCTGCTCTCTTCACATAATTCAAAACCACCAGTCCATCAGCGTGCTGTCCGGGGTTCAAGGGGGAAATGAAGAATCTGGGTTTCATATATGCTGGCGCCACCACTCTTCTCGCATGCCTCCTCATTATTCATATAGTATCATCTTTGAGTTCTTACGGCAGGGTCCGAGTCCTGGGACATGTCAGCACGGCAAAGGTTTGCCGACTTCACCATTAAATGACGAGACCGAGCGGGTCAAACAGGTCTCTGGGCAGCCACACACCTCCGATGCAGTACTAGTAGTGCGAAGTAATTCCTGGCTGTCTCGTATGTACGCCCCGAGTACCCTCACAAACAACCAACCGCAAGACACATCGGGCATCCAAACACGAACGAGCCGGGTGGGCCTGCATGACGGCCTCACTTTGCGGATGGAAAACCTCTGGTAGCTTGCCGTGTAGGGAGGGGGTAGCCTAGCCCATCCACGGCAAAGAGGGTATCGCGGGAAGCAAGCCATCTTGTCACCCATGTCAATGAACGTATCGCATACTGCGGATGGGGACCAAATGGAAACGGCCAGCAAGCCAATATATCTAGGAGAGGAACTCCGTGGTAGGCAGATAGGCACCGTGTCTCATCAGGCCGCTGACTGGCTACACCGGCCTCCATTACCCCTAAAAAGGGTAAGGCGACATATGCAGCGTGAGCACCAACTGCATCTGCAAACCCACGACGACACGTCCAATATGACTACCACCTAGGGAGAAAGATCTGAGGAAAGAGCAAAGGGTGGCAGTGCCAAGAAAAGAAAGAGAAAACGGGGGGTTTTACAACTGTGACGACCAGAACCTGGGTAACC